GTTTTAGAATTACTAATTTTGAAGCAATTTCATATTTTCACATGAACGTAGTATGTATAGCGACAGGCGGCGGACTGGATGACCGAGAGGTCGGAATTCGAGTCCCGGTAGGGTCTAGAATTTTCTCTTCTACAAGTCGTCCAGACCGGTTGTGGGGTCCACCCAACCTCCTACCAAATGGGTACCGGGGGGTAAAGTGGCTGGGGCGAGAAGCTGACCACTCACCGTTAACTAGTGCTGAGGTCAAGAAAATGTGGACCTATGCATCCACTCCCCTGTAGGCCTTCATGTCGTACTGCTTAGTTAAGCACAGGGACAACTTTACCTTGCATAATATGTATGAGAAAGGACTGTAATCTGAGAAAATCAACCTAGAAATTTGACAGGTTCACTTGTTTTAAGCCCCACAAATATGAAAAATGGTTTTTACATTGTCGCCTGTCTGCCTGTGTGTTTGGATGTGCACTTTGCAAGTGTCTGATTGATTGAAAGGATTTCATTATTGGGTATTCAAGGTTTATCCATTATAGGTCAGTGCCAGGTGAATGTTTTAGTCTTAGAAATATAGGCAAAAATGTGTAATATCAATTTTTAAACCTGATTTACTAGTTTTATGGATTTAACTGTACATTAATTACTAACCAACAGTGGTCTAGCAGCAATCACTTTCATTACCAAGTTAATGTAGCCAGTGTCAGTTGTACATGAGAAATTATGTGCATTTTGTTTGCACCTACATTTTAATATGGTGACAACGTTCATACATGATACCCATATCTGTGACAATGCAGGTTTTTGTTTAAATTTCCTTGTTTACTGATAGCTGGCCCACATGGTAAAAGATTTATCCTTCATTGTATTATATTTTGTCACTCATTAGTGTTTATGCTGTTCTTGTTCAGTTTTGCAGTAGGTTATTATAAATATTGTACAAATAACATGGGGGCACACGGTAGCATAATTGGTTGAGGCACCATGTTACAAGCCAGAAGGTCGTGGGTTTGAGTCCTGATGAGGTGGATTTTTTTTTCAATTGACCTAATCCTTCCAGCCACACTATATTACTGAGTCGACTCAGCCTCTAACAGAAATGAGTACCAGGAATCTTCCTGGGAGGGTATAGGGCGGCTGGCACGTAAGGCTGACAGTCTTACCACCATCTATGAGCCGATTCTCTAGGAAATGTGGGAGCCTCAGTGTCTCACAACCCTATGGGTCTTCACAGCCTGTTACAGGGATATCCTTACAAATATTCTGGGATTAAGCTTATGTATTTGTGGTAGGCCTAACTGTGTACAAAACTAGAATTTATGTTTTAGGTGGTTTGGATGTATTATTTGTGAGCATGAAACTCACTCAGCTACTTTGACTTGAAGTAGGTGAAAATGTGCATTTGACATGCTCACATGTATTCAGGACTAAACACATTGGTTGTTGAAGTGTATAGTCTTTTGTGTTGTAATCCCATGTAGTTTGTAGAGAGCCCAGTATTTCAGTGGAGCATTGATAATTTATGGAGTACATTTTCCTAAATAAAACACTATAGGTGGTATCTTCATATTGGGGGAACATATTGCCTCCATCTTCAGGGTCAAAAAGTAAGCAAAGAAAGGAACCAGCCTCCTTCTGTTGCTTTCTTTCGTAGCTTGTACGTTCTTTTGAAACACCAGGCTGTCTTTGAGCTACATGACTTTACAACCCAGCATACCATACTCTTTCATCACTACTGCCATGAGACGGTCAAATTCAATATTGGTCGTTTTTTCTAGCAGTGTTATTTCTGCTTTTGGGCACACTTTCTGGCTTGTGACATTGCAGTTACACCACTGTGTGCAACAGTTGGAAACAGAATGCTAGCTGAAATTGATACTTGAATACTAAGTAAATAAAAATTTGGTAATTATATTCAAAACTATTTCTTATGCAACCTTTAAACATGACATTTCAATTTCCAACTGAATAGTGGTCCCGTATTTTTAGGCACAAATACATGTGAAATGGTCTCCTGAGAATAAATGTTTTCTGTCATCCACCATATACTCCTGTGACCTTCAAGATATTTAATAATATTGTTGAAAGAGAATGTAATGTTTTGAACTCAGTGATGCATAGCTTTTGGTGCATGTAAAGACTTTAATAAGAGTTTAATTTCGTGTAGAGGTACCTTAAAAGGCATAATTGTGTGACAAACTAATTACAGTAGAACTTGGTTATAACGTCATCAAAGGGACCTAAAAATAGTGTCGTTATAAATGAATGTCGT